GGTCTAGGGCCAGTAGCTGGTGCTGGTATGTGTCAGTTTCGCTGGACACAGCCTTGCAATCTCTGAAGTTCTTAAGTTCGTCCTTTTAGAGCAGGAAGTAGACGATCTGGCTTTTCTTCTGTCCGCTGTTATAAGTTAGCAGGTAGTTTCCTATTTTCTGGAAGAACGTGTTTATGACAGCCAAACCATATGGAACTGCCATTTGCAAGATGTTCCCCCTTTTTATTTAATACAGATGTCCATGTCTACCATGGATCCCGTCATAACCTCTTCGACGTTTCCATATCTGCCAATTATGATCACCCCGGTTTATCACTTTTTCGTTTCGCATTGTGTTTTGTAGTTCAATATCTAGGATCTCCCAGAATGTGGAGTTTTTGGTTTCATTTTGGTCAGTCTGAGTGGCGTGTTCACTTATTATATTTAAGATACCACTTTCCAAAGTCAGTTTAATGCCCAGGATCCTGTCGTTACCTCGGTTGACTTCGAATACTCTGTTTTGGTCGCTTCGTTCAATGCAACTCCGGCTCCATTTCTTCTCTTTGATCTTCCACAATAAATAAGTTTAAAGCTCAGCCCAATCTCTTTCGATTTCTCACCTTTGCATTTCGTCTCTTGAAGCGATCTGAACTTTTCTTTCCTGGAGATCTTCCGCTAGCTCTTGCCCTTTACCGTCATTGTTTTAATGTTCCAAGTGGCTATTCGAATTTTCCTTCTTCGTTTTCGGCATGTGAATCTTTCCTTTTGCGACTGCCTTTCTTGTAAGACTGATTCCGTTGCCCATTTCTCACAGCCGTCCAGATTTGCTGCTACGCGTCGCCTGAGGGGGAACGTCCTAACGCTCATTCGAGATGTCGGTTGACTCATCACATTTGGTTCTGGCATCGGTTTTACGGTCGGTTGCCTGCCTGTTGTTAGTCTTTCTCAACAGGGCTTGGAGCTGGCTACGATTGGCAAGCAACAAAAATACTTGCATGTTGTGGCACAGAAATGATGATTTTCATGCAAATAAGGTTTTTATGTAATGGCAAAATCAGCTTTTGCAGTCGTGAAGAAGAGGAACCAGTAGAGCATATCAGCGGAGCTGATTACAAAAGTCACGAAAGCACGTTTTACCTCAGTTTTCTAAGTTTCTCAGCGACGTTTCCTTAAGGACGTTTCTTAGCGCCCCCCCTCCCAAAGGCTTCTCTTTTAAGTTGTTTGCGGTAGGCAGACTGGATGATGTCGGGTTTCGTGACACTACATTACGATACGACAGGACCTTTGCTCATCTATGCAGCTAAAGTTGGTCGTGTGCTAGTATTCCCTGTTCTGAGGGTACTTTCGGTTTCTCCATATGCAGTTACGGAGGCATATTGTCTTCGTTGATCGGTATAATTAATTTTTTGTACAGAAAGTTTATGTCACTTTTGTCGACCAGCCATTATATTTCTTCATTCAGTTTCCCTTCATGAAGCATGACAAGCAGAGAAATTCTTTCAGAAGAGTACTTGCCAGTGGCCGTTATTTCTATCGAGCTTTCGATGAAATTTGTTAAACAGTTGTCTCATGCTGTACGTTCACGATTTAAAGGCAAAATCTTGTAGTAGTCTTGTTTATGCAGATATTGAACAACGGGATGAGTAATTGATATACGATATCTTTAGAAGAAGCCCACAAAGAATCCATCGGATTAGAACAGAGCATCATGCCACCATTATGGCTATTAGAGTTACTTCACTC